CACCTCAGACTTTATTTGCACTCGTCGACCTCCCACCTCGGTCTAAGGATTTCATAAATGAGTTTTCTGACTTCTTGGCTGAAATCACACCAAAATATGAGCATATTTTCATTATTCAATCTTGTTATTGGTGATAACAAGAATTGAATTCTAGAATTGCGCTGCTCAAGGTGGCTGCATGTTGGAGCAGCTCTGTTACTTTCATTCTGAGATTTTGCTTTTGGAAACTGTGATTCCTCTTTTTCTGGATGTGGGTCGCGTTTTTTGGATGGTGGTTTTCTCTGGTATCAGATGCTGTGCAGCTGGAAGGATTTTTACTGAAACTTTTTTTAGTTTTGGACATTTGTTATGATGCATAACCATGGCAACAAGGCAGTTTTCTACAACAAACAGCAGCTGATTAACATCTCAAAAGCTCAAATAATATCTCAACTACAGCCCCAAATCTCAAATGAGTTGAAAATGATGTTCTGTGGATGCATTCTCATCTACCTGCCAGTTGTGCTCAAGTGTCTGACCACTGAGATCCTGGAACTAGCAGGAAACACGGCTCATGACAATGGAAGGACAGGATCATCCCTCGGCACCTACAGTTGGCTGTCCGCAGTGACAAGGAGCTCGGCAGACTGCTGGGAGGAGTGGCTATCGCTCTGGGAGGAGTTCTGCCCGGCATTCGGGTGGCCCTACAGCCCGGGGGAACCGAGAGGCCAGCCGAGTCTGGGTGGACGGATCAGACGGCATCTGAACCTTTAGAGATCCTTCCAGTCTACAGCCATCAGTATCTTTAACATCTCTTAATGAAATGAGGATAACGAGTTACTAAAACAAATAATTTCCCTCTGGGATTAATAAAGTATATTTGAATTGAATTGAATTGAATAATGTTTTTTCAGACCACATGCCAGTCTTTAGTTTGAGTTCACCCTCCCCCATCTAACTCCTAAGTCGTGCATTCGTGCACGTAGTACCCGGGCTATTAACCTTTTCACTGCCACGCGTTTCACAGATGTTTATAACTCTGAAATGATCATTCAGCCCCTGGAGTTTCTCTCTACCACTGCGGAGCTGACATCCCAGTTCAACTCTGTCTGCTTAAAGACACTGGATCATATTGCGCCTATTAAAACCAAAAAAATCAAAACTGAGAGCAGAACCTTGGCTGAGTGACGTCACCAAGGCCGTTAGGCAGCAATGTAGGAGGGCGGAGCGAAAGTGGAGGAAAGACAGGCTGCAGGTCTCTTTTCAAATACTTAGAGAGTTGGCGCCGTTATCAGAAAGCGGTGAAAGCTGCTAAATCCAAATACTTTTCTGATATAATTACCTCAAACTCTCGCAACCCACGTGCCCTCTTCTCCACCCTAAACTCTGTTCTCCACCTCACTGAACCATCACCTCTGGAATCCTCGACTGAGCTGTGCAACAACTTCTTACATTTCTTTTTGGAAAAAATTGCGACCACCCGTGCTCTCATTTCCCCTCCAAGTCATGACCCATCCATCCCACCTCAATCTGTAGCTCTATTTGACCGTTTTGAACCCATCACTCTATCTTCTCTAGAGCAGGCCATGTGCAACTTGAAACCTTCTGGTTCCTCCTTTGATGTGGTCCCCCCTCGACTACTAAAAGAAGTTTTTCCCACCCTGGTTCCGTCCATTCTTGATATAGTAAACAGTTTTTGGCCCAGGACCGATCGGCCGCTGCCCCCCATCGGTCACTCTGAGCGCACCCTGCCGGCCAGGTGACCCCTCGAGCTGGGGAGTCGACGCACGAAGGTCCGGTGTTTTTTCTCTCTCTCTCTGGACCTCAACAAACTCTTATCTGGTTCTTTGTGGTTCTACCTGGTTCCGACAAATATCGCCGGTTGGTATTTCGCTCGTTTTCAGCTGGACTGGCCCTCGTGGTGTCTCCATAGGTGTGGGGGAAGTGTACCTGTGTCCCTCGAATTGGACCAGAACCGAACCGAGGTGGCTGTGGGGGATTTCGTCTTCAACAGAGCCGGTCTCAGCTTCAGTGAGCAGCCCGTTACTTTTACCGAAGGACGATCCACCTCCGTGGAGTCGTTGTGTTCACCTGGAGGAGACGCTCCGGTGCTTTGAAGCGCTGCCGGACCGGAGCAGAACCGCGCCGCCGGACTGGGCCGCCGGACTGGGCCGCTGGACCGGAGCAGAACCGCGCCGCCGGACTGGGCCGCCGGACCGGAGCAGAACCGCACCGCCAGACTGGGCCGCCGGACCGGAGCAGAACCGGGCCAGGGATATCTTCAGCCTCTTCGTCTCTCGTGCTTGGAGTGCCGGAGCCGAACTGGAGCAGAACCGGACCGGACCAGTTGCCGACTTCAGCCTCAGCCTCTCCGGTCAGTCTCGTTTTTCACCGGGGGTGCCCCGTGCTGTCGGGTGCTGAGAAGCGGAGGAGCAGAGGGAAGGAGCGGGTCTGTGTGGTGCTCGAGAGTAGTTCGGAGTTTGTATCGGAGTTGCTACAGGCCTCCATCCAAAATCACCTGGATAATAATTAATTTTATTCCGGATCACGCTGTTGGCCCCTGTTGACCTGAAACGAGTTTGGATCATGTCTTTCACGTCAGGAGGATTTTCTGGCAGCTCGCTCTGCTATTTGCTGCAAATTATCTGTTTCTGTTTCGGCCTGTTGATTCTGGACACAGCTTCTGTTTCCCATGGGAGCATCCATCCATCCATCCATCCTTCTTCACTGGGGGGCCGGAGCCCCCTCAGCCTAACTCAATCTGCAGTTGGCCCAACTCGTCGGGTTTGTTTGCCCATTTGAACTGTGATGTTTTATGGTCTGAAACTTTTCTGCATCATTCATATTACTTTCACTATTTTCAGTTCTCAGATTATCTGGAGTCACTGAATCTTGTTAATACACCTGAATCTGTCCATCACTGCAACTTTCACTGTTTTTGGGTTTTGAATGATCACGTCTTCATTAATGTTTCTCATGGTTCGATTATGGGGGCTAATTGTCACACTGTTAACTCCTGTAATTACACATCAGTCACAAAAAACTCAAGAAAATGTCTGATAATAATGTTGTTACTGCTCTCACGGATTCAGCCCAACCCTGGACACCCCACTAATTACAGCACACCAAATGACTTTAAAAACGCCTCTGGGCTTCATTTTCTGCATGTAAACGCTCGTAGCCTTCTGAAAAAACTGGATGCTTTGAAAATCCTGGTCAGTTCTTCTGGGGCAGATGTTATCTTTATTTCTGAATCCTGGCTCAACAAATCTGTAATGAATAATGACGTGGCAATCAATGGATTTAACATCTACCGCTGTGATTGTCAAAAAAGGGGGGGTAGAGTCATTATTTACATTAGAGATTCTCTGGTTTCTAGTCTTGTGACTTCCAAAACAATTCCAAACCAGTTTGAAGCCTTATCTGTAAACATCACCTTGAATGGAGGCCAGATTTTAACTGTAGTCTGCTGCTACCGCCCCCCCACAGCATCACCTGAGGCATTGACTGCCATGATGGAATTTCTTGGTAATTTAAAATTCAAAGAGATCCTTTTGGCTGGAGACCTCAACATTGATTGGTGTAAGTCGACCCCCCTCTGTGATAAATTCAAGGAATGTTGCTTGTCTCTTAATCTTACCCAACTGATCAACTCTCCCACTAGATTAAATAAAAACCGTCCTGAAAAATCCTCCATCTTAGACCTGTTTCTAACTAATATGCCTCACAAATTCCCTGGTACAGGTGTATTCGCTGATCTTTTGAGCGATCATTGTGTGACAGTTGCTTTGAGAGATATTAAACTTCCACCTTCTAAGCCCAGATTAATTCAAAAAAGGGATCTGAAACGTTTTTGTGAACAGTCATTCCTCTGGGATCTGTCTCACTGTTGCTGTTGTCCATTGTTGTCATCTTTCTTTGTTGAAATCAGGTCTCTCGTAAATGAGTCCTCGAGGCTCAATGGGATTTACCTGTATAAATAAAGGTTGATTGATTGATAGTTTATCCACTGGCATGGTGCCAAAATCCTTTAAACATGCTGCTGTCCAGCCTCTCCTGAAAAAAAAAAACCTTGACCCCTCAGTCATATCCAACTTCCGGCCTGTCTCCAAACTCCCATTTGTTTCTAAACTACTGGAGAAAATAGTCGAGTCCCAGTTGAAGTGCTTCCTAGAAGGTCACACCATCTTAGAGCTATTCCAATCTGGCTTTAAACCTCTCCATAGCACTGAAACTGCCCTGCTGAAGGTCTTTAACGACATCTTCAGATTCACAGATACCGGAGATTCTGTGCTGCTTGTCCTGTTGGACCTCACAGCCGCCTTTGACACCATAGACCATGAGATCCTCATTGCTAGGTTAGAGCAGTGGGTGGGCGTCACAGGTTCAGCCCTCAATTGGTTCAGATCTTACCTCGCTGACAGATCCTTTTGTGTCTCCATCAAGGATTTTAGTTCCGCAGAGGCAGAGCTTAAATGGGGGGTTCCACAGGGGTCCATCCTAGGTCCCCTCCTAGTCGCTTTATACCTGCTGCCGCTTAGTGCTATTTTCCAGAAACACAACATGCCCTTCCACTTCTATGCCGATGACTGTCAAATTTACTTCCCCCTAAGACACAATGGTTACATGCTCTATTCAACCGCTGCTCGACTGCCTGGTTGACATCAGGGACTGGATGGCTTTAAACTTCTTAAGCTTCAATGAAAAGAAATCTGAAGTCATGTTGTTCCCTCCCAACGACACGATCACAAACCACTGCATCAACCTCTCTGCTTTAACCCTGTCAGAAAAACAAAGAGTCACTAATCTGGGCGTGATAATGGACCCTTCCCTGAAACTTAACAATCATGTAAACATGTCACGGATTGGGGTGGGTGGATCGGACAAGCACAGACTCAGAAAAAGTTTCCACAATTTGTGTAGCCACCACATGCTGGCATCTACAGGAGGGTTAGTGCATGTAGAAAATGAATGAAGGTAGCAGTAAAGGTAACTTTGTGAAATGTTTTTTGTGTGTACAGGATCTCAAAGGTAAAATCTTGGTGAAGGGGAAAAGGGAGACAGAGGATGAATGTCCATCCAGTTCTTCAGATGTCAGCTCAGATGAGGAGGTCAGTCGGGGAGAAGGAAAACTCAGCAAGAAAAAGGAGAAGGTTGGTAAATGGAAACATTTGTCGAGCATTACATTTTGGAGGTGCAAGCTAACAGTAGATGATGTTTGTGATCCTAGCCAGGTGTGTCCAAGCTGAGCCCAGAGCTGTCTGAGCTGGTGGTGTACACTCGCAGTGTTCCCTTTAAAAGCTTCGAGCATGCTGCCAGAAACCCAGCCAGTGACATGTCATCTTTCTCTGAGAGTGAAGCCCTCAGGCTCATTAAGGATTCAGGTATGTAATGTGGACTGTAAACGGTAAATGGACTGTACTTATATAACACCTTTCTATTTTATCAGGACACTCAAAGCTCTTTACAACACAATCTGTGTCCTCATTTACCCATTCATACAGCACTCTACTATACTTATACAAAGACTAATCAGAGCTTTATCACATTGGGACAGTTACACACTGCAGATTTACAATTAAACAAGACTTTTTTAATGTAGTCGAACCCAAATTGACAAAAGAAAATGTAAGTCTTGCCTTTTTTTTTTTTTTTTTTTGCAGGGATGCATTTTGTACGACATAACAGTCACCAGCTCAGCAGGATCTACCCCTCAGGCCAACGGTTCCAATCATCCAACTACAACCCACAGGAGATGTGGAATGCAGGCTGTCAGATTGGTAAGGGTTTGTTTTGTCCTATTACAAGAGAGAACAGTCATTTATGATGATCCCATCAGTCAAACAGAACTTCTCTAAAGGGTTTTTTTTCCTCACTACATGCTCCCTCTCTGGAGTGTTTCTGGTCCTCCTATTAAGCTCCTTCTTAAAGGCTTTCTGGTCTTTTTAAAAATTTGTTCTCTACTCCACAAGAAGCAGAAAAATTGTTTGTTTACTCAAGAGAAAAGAATACAGACAAAGTTAAATCTGGCCAAAAACCTCAAGTACAGAACTCCTGGGAAGTCCTAGCAGAGATGTCAACATTTACATGTTTCCACATTAACCACATCCACCTCAAATTTGAATGTATTGTAAAAGACCAGGGTTGGCACTGTAACTCAGTTGGTAAAGCTGTTGCCGCTCAGCGAGAAGGTTGCTAGATCAAATCTTGGCCCTTTCTGGGTGGAGTTTGTATGTACTTTCCGTGCTGCGTGGGTTTTCTCCGGGATCTCCGGTTTCCTCCCACAGACCAAAACCATGCATGTTAGGCTGATTGGTAACTCTAAATTGTCTATAGGTGTGAGACAGAGAGTGAATGGTTGTTTGTCTTGTTTGTCTCTATGTGTCCCTGTGATGGACTGGAGACCTGCTCAGGGTGTCCCCTATACTTTTTCTGGCAGTGACCCCCATGACGCGAAAAGGAATTCAATTCAATTCAGTTCAGTTTATTTATATAGCACCAAGACACAACAGAAGTCGTCTTAGAGCACTGAACAGAAACATTCATATACGTACCTAAAAAGTTAATAACCTTATTTATGTGAGGAGCAGACTGCTTTGAGTTTAACTTCATCGCAGACTCAGTTTCAGGTTTGGTTTATTTGTCATATGCAAAATCAACACAAGGTCAGCAGTGCAATGAAATGCTTAGACAAGAAGAACTGTCTCGACTCGCCCCCCCAAAAAACAACAACAACAACAACAAGAAATACCAAAGCATGCAGCAAAAATACTAAAAATCATACTAAAAATACTACTAAAATACTAAAAAAAACAAGGTGCCAAAGTTGAAAAAGAAATTCATCTACAGTGAGGTTCCTTCACCATCATGGTTCTGTTCTGTTAGCGGCATGGTCTTGCTCAACCTTTATTTAAACAGGTTAGTCCCACTGAGCCATGAGGACTGATTTCCAAGAAAGACCTGAAATGTTATCAGGTCTTGTCAGCAGGTACGATTAGCAGCTTGATGATAATAATGACCGCAGCAGCTGCCCTCACAGACTGCCCTCACAGACTGGCCTCCAGAACAGGGTCCAGCAGACAGAGTACATCCAAGGTTTCCCCCACAGAGCGAGACTCTCATCCTGAGCAAGCATGAAGGCAACAGTGGAAAGGAAGTGGTCCACTTCTGCGGTGGAAGTGGTCTCCAGCTACAAATACTTGGGTGTACATCTGAACAACAACCTCAGCTGGGGCAACAACACCACCAGCCTGATCAAGAAAGCTCATCAGAGACTACTTCCTCAGACGGCTGAGACGAGCTGGTCTGAGAAGTTCAGTCCTCACCTCCTTCTACAGGTGTGCAGTGGAGCGCATCCTGTGCTTCAGCATCAACGTGTGGCATGGAGGCTGCACAGCTGCAGAAAGAAAAGGTTTGCAGAGAGTGGTGAAGGCTGCACAGAAGACTGTTGGAGTCAAAAATGTTCATGCTCAATAATCCAGGTATACAATCCAACAATTTTCGGTCAGGTCCAAACTGTCCAGATGACCTGACTGAAAATTGTTGGATTGTATACCTGGATTATTGAGTGTGGACATTTTTGGGTTTGAACCAGTTTGACATGACTGTTGATGAGAAAGAGGGCCGGCACAAGAGGAGGGGCGTGCCAAAGACACCATCTTAGTACCAACATAACTGGTTTGTTCCACTTTGGAGTAAGCTGTTAGGGGGAAGAATCAGTTTTGTGTTGTGTTTGTCCTTGACTGATGAAGCCTTCTGGAAGGAAGGTGAAACGTTTCAGCAAAAAAGAAACTGTTCAGATGACCTGACTGAAAAATGTTGGATTGTTGGAGTCAGTCTCCCCACCATCACAGACATCTACACCTCCAGATGCAGGAAGAGGGCCACCTGCATCATGAAGGACCCCACTCACCCAGCACACACATTTTTTGCCCAGTTCCCCTCAGGCAGGAGGTTGAGGAGAATTAATTGTAGAACCACTAGACTGAGAAACAGCTTCTACCCTGAAGCTGTTAGACTCATGAATCTCTAACCAGGATAATCACTGTAATGCCACTTTGATTGTTGATATGTACTGTTGATTATCCATGCTGCTGATCTCATGCTGCTGAATATTTCATGCTTTTGTATTCATTCGTACCCATCTGCTCACAGACTCATGTTTGTGCTGCTGTTACACCATATTGTTTTACATTATTAATGTTTAGTGTATGTCTTAGATCCTTTTTTACTGTTTCTTTTTACACTTTATATTTTTGCTGTTTTTGGGTAAAACTGGGACCCTGTATACATAATTTCATTCCACCTCATGTACCATATGTGGTGAAATGACAACAAATCTACTTGAACTTGAACTTGAAAATCTCCCTCATGAGGAAGAAACCTTTAGCAGAACCAGGCTCAGGACAAGTGGCCATCTGCTTTGACCAGCTGGGTTTGAGAGGAACAGATACACAATGGCAGGTCAAGAATCACATGTTAAGATAGAAATATGGTCATTTCAAATGACAACTATTAATTTGTAACAATTCATTTTAAGAAATTAGGTCAATTTGTCCTCCAGTAGTCTAAGCCTATGGCAGCATTAGCTAACCCTAACTATAAGATTTCTCAAAAAGGAAAGTCTTAATCCCAGTCTTAAAACTGGACAATGTGTCAGCCTCACGGACAGAAACTGGAAGTTGGTTCCACAAGAGAGGAGCCTGATAACTGAAAGATCTGCCTCCCATTCTGCTTTTGGAAACTCTAGGAACCACAAGTAAACCTGCAGTCTGAGAGTGAAGTGCTCTGTTAGGAAAATATGGAACAATAAGATATGTAATATAAGATGGTGCTAGGTTATTGAGAGCTTTGTAGGTTAGAAGTAAGATTTTGAATTCTTTTCTGGATTTTGAAAAAAGGAAGAAGTGGGTAAGGATAATGGAAGGATGGTTCTAACAGATGAAGTGGTCTTCTGTTTGGATATCGTTGTAAAATATCAGTTCTACTGAAAAGAATCAAAGAGTCTAAAAGTCTGATGCAGATCCATTCAATAAATTTTCCATAAGAATAACATACACCTTTTAGGTTATTTCCACAAAATTAACATTTGTGGAATCCAGTAACGTATAGTACATCCAGTACATCCATACATACAGTTTTAAAGTTTATGAGATATACCAAGCTCCCCATGTATTTACTGTACATGTCCCAGCTGTTCACCAGACTTGAACGCAGCATTACCTTTGTGAATCTGGAGTGGTAATAAAGTCTCAAAAGTCACATTCACAGGCAAGCTGATCCATGCGCAGCCGGTGATTTGTCCACATTGTACAGTATAAATGTACACATTGTACACACACCTGACAATTTGTTTGTGCTACTTGTGCATTTTAAAATGTGTGCACTGGCTATGCATTTGTAAAACTTGTGGTATGCTTGTGAATCTGTTTGTGTGCATATGTGTTGTTGCACATGTGAGACTAGCTTTGAAACCAATTTATGTTCAGACGTACCACTAATTCCATCCCCACAGTAACAAGGAGATGCATTTCTCACTGTACCTGTAATCTCTTACTGATTTTGACAGAGTTAAAAAGCTGCAAATGCTTTGTTTCTAGTGTCTTTTTAGCTTTCAGTGGAAAGTTTAAACAATCAGAACATCATGAATCTTAAATTTCTCAGATTTGCTAAGGATAAAATTGCATAAAACCTGTATTTATTTGATTGCTCAGTAACTGTAGAGGTTGGCTCCTCTACCCCTCCCTTCTCTGTTGTTTGCTC